CGGTTGGCTCCGGCCACTTGCATGCAGAGACAGATCAGCGTCCCCTGGTTAGCAGCTAACCATGGACGCTGATGTGTCATTACACTGAGAACCCAGCGGGGCCGCTGTGATATCACGGCGGCTCCGCCAGGTTCTAATATCCTGAATTGCGGCCAGCCGCCGCTCGCTCCCCCGCCCCCCCGCCGGTGATTTTTTTACGGATCCCCGCTGACACAGACCCTACAAGCGGGGGACAGCAGCGGGGATCCATGGAGTCTCTCATCCCTCCCTGGGGTGTCCAGGTGTCTCCAGGTGCCGGGGGGGGGCGCCCGGTATTTTTGATAATAGCAGTCATCAGCGGCTTGTGATGATGACAGCTATTAATTTAAAGGGGACAGTCTGCTGATCAGTTCTACTATCAGCTTATAGTAGAACTGTAAATGCCAGGTCCGTACGGCATACTGAGCTGGCCAGCTGGAAGCACTTTTGTAGCTCCGTATGCCGTACGTCCTTGGCAGCGAAAGGTGAAATGTTTACAAACAAAAAAGTAAACAGTGCGATGCGCATCAGCACTTTGCCTGTCAACGCACACCAGCAGCCGCATGATTAGCAGGAAAGTCTCTGATAAAGGAGTTTGTTTATTTTAATCTGTCTGGGCTGTCTGGTAGGAGGCTTACTATGTGGAATGTGGTGCAAAAGATTTTTTTTTAATCATCTTTAGCTGACTTTTGCAGGAAAGAATCCCCCTTTTCCTCATTCAGTTTGGGGTTCCCAGATCTCATTATTGTTGCCCATAGAAAATAACCTTTTCACACATTATTGGTCATCAGACTACGCTCTTCCCTCACAATACATTTTCTGTAAACCCCTGTAAAGGTAATTGAAGCCTAGATACCCATGCCAAACTTAGACGGTTCAGCATGGCTCAGTTATTATAACAAAGACTCAGAGATTAAGTTGCTTACCAACACTATTTTTTAAATAGTTTTTTTAAGGCTTTTCACGTAAGACTGTCCTGCCTACACTGTATCACTTTCTCCAGCAAGCGCAGAGAGAGAGAAGCACAGTGCCATCTGCAGCTGGCAAAGTTTGTTTGTAGAGAAACATCCAGTGATTCTACTATTGGCTGCCACGGTGATCACCTGGTCAGGAACCATGCTAATTGGTCACAGTCACTGAGCTAGAAGTGTAAAGTAGTTCACAGCTGTAGCATACTGTATAATAACAATCTAGACTACTTCTACTAATATAGATAGCAGATGCCGAGCATGAAATAAAACCAGAATGTTTATAAATCCTGTATAATAACAATATCAAACTATAGAGCCAACAGTTTATGCAGCACTTTACAAAATGAAGGGAGACAGCACTGTTGCAATACAATTCAATACAGGGGGTGTAATGATATGTACGATATGACATAACTATTGATGTTCAGATACCAAGTACCGTACTCGGTACAAGTACAAGTACAGATACTTTTCCAGCTCCAAGACTAGTCTAGAGAAAAATTCAAAAGTTAGGAGGCAGCTGTCATTTTTAAGGAGCATACGTTTTGTTTGTCATATGACTAATGATTTCAGGGCAGTGGTGGAGAGCCAGAGCCAGGTCCCAGCTGCAACTTCTGCAACCCTGGTAGTTCTCGTGAAAATGCCAAGTATCGGCACTGGTATCTGAACATCCTTAGATATAACCTAATGATATGTACGTGCAGTGGGGATTTTTACATGTGTGAGGGTGTTAGCTCGGCAGTGGATGTGTGACTCCCTGGATGAATTCAGTAAACAGTAAGTAGGCACAGCAAGCAACAATTTTTCTGGTGAAAATACAAGTTCACTTTATTTACACACAAAATGAGCAAAACAAAAGAAAACATAAATCCTTGTCTCTGGGCAACTTACTACACACAGTATCCCTGGCTATCATCTAGGTCCAACCTTGTGCTGCTCCAAGCACCTATCTCCATACTGCACAGACTGCCACAGAGGCTGTATTTCACTGCACATGAGTTTGGTTTTTCTTATAGAGGCTCTAATGAGCCAGCTTGCTTACGCTGGGCTCATTTCCTCTACTACTCCAGCACTCCCCTCCTAGTGGAAGAAATCCATAAACAGCCTGAACCTGGGACACACATATTTGCAATCCTGGATACACCTAGATTATTTTACTTGCCTGCTGTCACACATGTAAAAACTAAATTAGACGTGAAGTTACCCAGAGCATCTGGCTCTGTGTTTTAATTTCTTCTCTAGCCAAATGGCACCCCCAGTGCACTAAAGCAACACACATGTGTTGTACTATCATGCATTGTGTTGCTAAACAAGGGTCAGGGGCAGTTTTAGTTGCACAGAGGTGCTTTGGTAGCCCATTTAAAATAAAAGGGCTGCTTTAATGCAACATGCCTAAACATGCAAAGTAAATCCTATTAACAAGCTTATATTAATGCACCACAATGGAGTGAACCTGGCCCTAGAGTAATAAAATGATTTAAGTGATAATAAAGTCAAAAGGTTTTTAAGCTATTACAAATGCTGAATAAATTACTTACAAGGGATGCTGCTTTTGCAGAATCAGCTAGTCCCCTGAGCACTGGCCCTGATATCCTGTTTTAGGGTGGCCGCTTTTCCTTGAAGTGTCCTATGGAGTCACCTCTGTGTGTACTAGTAAGCTGTGGCACAGACACAGCAGTGAAAGCCTCTCCCCTCCCCCTTTTTCCTCCTTCCTCCACCTACCTTTTTTCTTCTTCCCTTTCCCCCTTCTTCAGGCTAGTAAATGGACAGCTGTAAAAACGTGAAGTACTTTCCTGGGGAGTGTATATTTGCTTGATCCTGATTCATTAATGAATAAAGTTTGGGTGTTTAATACTACTTCAAGTTCATTCAATACAGCATTTATTTGAAACCATGTCTTTTGTTTTATCCAGATATTTTCTAATGTTCAGAGGCTGGCTGGCTCTTTTATTGACCTCTATCTGGCTGGAAATATGCTGTTTAGAACGTGGGGGGCAGTGATCCAATGTGCAGATAATGCTACAGTCAGTGTTCGTATGAACTTTGATGTTGAGGGAATTGAGGAACTTCAAGCAGAAGAAGCTCTTACCGATTTGCTTCCAAGCATCTGCAAAACCATGGAGAGATTGTTGGAAGAGTGGCTGGCCTTTGTCAACAAGAAGAGATCCGAGCTATACTACTTAAACTACTACACAGCAGAACAGCTGGTGTACCTGTGCCAGCAGTATCAGATGAGGGAAATCAGTGAGGAGGCTCTTGTAATGTTGTCTTTTATTAAACCTGACTGTGAAAAAATAGACACTATCAACTCCTTCTACTTTTCCAAGACTGGTTCCTGTTATCCAACCGCTGTAAACCAACCAGATATGATGGATTTTGCAATGGAACTTGAAGTCTGTAGAGATGTTTCAAAGAAACTAGAGCTGGTTTGGAAGTTCTCTATGGATAACATGAACTCTTTCTTCCCAGGTTGCCTGGATTTGGATGCCCTGGGTACTAGCTTAGCTGCTCTGGCTGAGCAAAATAAAAAAACGGTAGACCGTGACCTTCATCCAAGTTTGCAGCCTGGCCGACCCAATCTGATTCTTTGTCCTCCATCAGAAATGTTGTCCTGTGCTATAGCAGTTTACATGCACACCTCTGGTGAGGCATTGCCATCCTATGATGAAGTTCTCCTATGCACGCCTCATACCACCTTTGAAGAGGTGGCCTTGTTTCTTCGTAGATGCTTGACTTTGGGGTACAGTGGGAAGAAAATTTATAGTTTGATCAATGCAGACCTGCTAAGCTATGATGTAGGTTATAAGTCTGAGCTACTATTCCAACAACTACAGGCCAAGTGCATAGAAAAGTACAATCTTGTAATCATATGTAACTCTGATCGAGAGGGTTGCTACATTCCTTCAGTTTTCAGCCAATTCAAGATTCATGTGATCCCCCAAAAACAACCTGTAGAGATTCAACGTTACCTGTGTACACATTTTAAAATTGGTTCTGAAGTGGTTTCAGCAGCTTCCATGTTTAAGAATGGAATGAGTGCAGGAATTGTGTCATCTAAGCGAGCTGGGGTTGGTAAGTATAACCAATACAACCAGTGGTAAGAGTTTGGAATTTGACAATATGGTTACGTTAGATTTGTGCAGCTATGTTTTGTTATGGTGTTTCAGAGATCTACACCTGTCCCAATTTATTATAACAGGGACCCATGCACCAATTCTGTGTGTGGCACAGCTGTAAGTAGGAATGCACTGATACTGGTTTTTCGCTATTGAGTACGAGTACCAATATTTAGCTTTCGGTACTCGCCGATACAGAGTACCAATTCCAGTACTTCCACTAGCATGGAGCCAGCTTTCAGGGCAATTAAGAAGCCGGGTGGCGGGGAATGCCTGGGAAAGCCGGCTCCATGCTGATTGGCCGGGAAGCTGGCTTTCCAGCCAATCAGCATCAAGCCGGCTGTTTGGTATAGGTGGCTGAATTCCTCCATGTGATATGCAGCCTTCCCCTAAAGGGGAGCTTAGGGGAAGGAAGGACCAAACTTGATTTTACAGGAAGATTGTAGATTTACAGAGATATATACTTTACATTTGAATTTCATGTTTACTGCTTGAATTCAGACTGTGGCAATCTCCAAGTAACCCGGTAGCTTTCTAAAGGATCCTCCTACAGCTGTGACGTATATCAGGAGAGATTAGATCACACTCAATTCACTCAAGACTAAACATCAAGTGATAAAGCTTAGAAACCTGTATTTAAAAAAAATATTTTATAATACAACTGGCTGGAAATCATTGACGTTATCCCAGGACACCAACCTATTTTACAAGTATAACTTCCTACCTCTGCCAGTTGTATATGCTTTGTGAATTTTCATTAAAAGACCATGGCAGTGTATATATTATTTTGGTTTCATTTAGACTGTCCACAGTCTTTACTTTACACTAAAGAGAGTGCAAACATGACTACAGGCCAAGAATAAGTCCCCATTCACACTTATGCGATTTGACTTGCTTCTATCGGGCCTGTTCACAGCTATGTGTTGGGGTGCAGTGTGACTTTAAAAAGGTGCATGCGCTCCTATTGGTGCTACATGGTACATCGTTATCCCCATAGACTTCAACTGAAATTGCAATTTGCTCATGTAAAATGTGCAAAAACACATGTAACATGCATTTTCATGCGTTTTCGTGAATGACAAAAAGCCCCTACCTCCTGGCAACATATATTGTATTTCACCTTCAGTGACCAAAGCAAAAATGCAAAATGCATGAAAAGCATACTAAAAATGCATGAAAATACAGACTCACAAGTCTTTTTCTTTAATTAATTTATATTTATCTTAAAATAGGGTATAGTTGTACTTGGTTACCATTATAACACATAAATGTTTCTTTTATGTGTTTCTTGCTTCTTCCTAGGAAAATCTCTGTATGTGAAAAGGCTTTACCAAAAACTTGGGTCTAAATTTTCAAGTAAAAAGCCACTTCTCAAAATAATTCGGCTCATTAAGCCAGAGGTGGATGAGAACAAAGTATTGGAAACCTTACTTCCTTTTCTAAATGGGAAATCGAAGAGCTGTCCTATAATATTCCATATCGACATTACATCTTCTGTAAGTAAAATAATATCCGAGCAATGTACAAATTGTTGTATCATAAATGCTGATAAATTGATTACTGCTGGGACCAGAAAAAATAGACCACTTTCCTGTAAGACCTTTTACAGTACCACAAGTAGAAATGAATAAGTTAAACAATATGGGACCCAGCACAGAACCCTGAGGCACACCGCTCATTACATTTGCCCAGTCTGAAAAGGTGTCTTTTACAGATACCCTCTGGATTGCCCTCTCTCCCAGCTATTCCTATCTGCGAGTGAAGATTGACTTCTCCCTCTACCCCTATATTTGGAGGTTTATAGCAAATACCCATTAGAAGTTTACGGCTAGTGTCCATCCTATCTAGCTCCAGCCATAGGGTTTCCACGTCTTCCCCATTATTTGACGCGATATCGTCCCTTATATGCACATTTAGATTTTTTTTTATACGTAAATGAAACACCCCTCTCCCCTCCCTTATCCCACCTCTGTCCCTCCTAAACAGGTTATACCCCTCTATATTAGTAGCCCAGTCATGCGTGCTGTCCAGCCAGGTTTCCGCTATACCCACTATGTCGAAATCCTCTTCGATTAGCCTAATTTCAAGCTCTTCTAATTTATTTGCCAGACTTCTAGCGTTGGTGTACATACATTTAATTCCTCTGACTCACACTCTGACTCTCTAAAGCTGGCCATACACCTAAAGATTATCTGAATATTTGCTGGGCCAAGCATCAGTATCTTGCTAATCGGCCCCGCTGGCTCTCAAAATACCTGAACAATGCCTGCATCCAATCAGATTGTTCAGGTATTTTGAGAGCCAGTAGGGCCGACTAGCAAGATACTGAAGCTTGGCCCAGTGGGAGATTCCTCCATACACACAGTTTAGCGTAGATGGAGGAATCTGTTGCACTTTTTCCATCTGACCATAGAAAATCTGCAGATAATCTTTAGGTGTATGGCCAGCTTTAGATGCTCTTTTTATACCCAATCATGTTACTGACCTGTTGCCAATTACCCTAATTAGCTACAAAATGTTCTTCCAGCTCTTCCTTGTTAATGCCACTTAATTTGCCAGCTTTTTGTTGCCCTGTCCCATTTTTTTTTTAGATGTGTTGCTGTCATCAATTTCAAAATTACCTTATTTTTCTCTTAACCATTTGAAGACCTTCCTGTCCAGGTAATTTTTCAGTATTCAGAGCTGCGGTACTTTGACTGACGTTTATTCCGTCATCCAACGCTTTACTGAAATGGATTTTATACCATTCTTTGGGGACAGAGAGAGCTTTCTTTTGGTGGTATTTAATCACCACTGAGGTTTTTATTTTGTATTATATAACAAAAAAACTTTTGAGAAAAAACTTTTCCCTATGTTATGAAGCATTTATTATTACCCTAATTTTGTGGTAATAATTTTGGTTTTGCGTGCATAAAAAAAATAGCAAAATACTACCACTCCCAAAACTGTCCATAGGCAATGCTTTAAAGGCTTTTACCGCTCATCAGTTTAGTGTTATCCGTGATTAATGGTCCTAGAAATATTGCTGACTGTAGGCACAAGAATGTTTGTTTGTATGGTATTGATGATAAAACACAAACAGGGAGGTCACGAGCAAAGGGGGAAATGCCAACAGGAAAGTCACAAGCAAAGGGGGAAATGCCAACAGGGAGGTCACCTGCAAAGGGGAAAATGCCAACAGGGAGGTCACGAGCAAAGGGGAAAATGCCAACAGGGAGGTCACGAGCAAAGGGGGAAATGCCAACAGGGAGGTTACGAGCAAAGGAGGAAATGCCAACAGGGAGGTCACGAGCAAAGGGGCAAATGCCAACAGGGAGGTCAGGAGCAAAGGGGGAAATGCCAACAGGCAGATCTCAGACACAGGAGAATCAGCACAAAACAGGGATCCAAAAGGGTAAACTAGCACAAGAGCTCATGCGAAACACAAGGGGTCCGACACAAGAAGGAAGACTTGTTGCTCGAACAAAAAGCAAGTGAGAGCGTGCTAAATAAGGGAGGAGGTGTGCAGATTGGCTGCAGCCCTGTGGAATCCCACAGCCAAGCACCAGGGACCCACATGAAAATCTGGCATGGGTTGCCGGACATTGTGACACTTTCAGATGCTGTTCTGGTCATAAGTTAGTTACAGAGCACTTTCCAAGTCTAGAACCATTGCCATTGTTTTGGCACGTGTCCTGTTTCTGAAGACTCATTCTGTGCGTAGGCTGATTAGGCTAAGGACTGGGAGCTACCCCATTGTTGGGACCACTAAGTGCCTTCACAAAAAGTGCTTATGTCATCTGCTGGGTGGAGTGTTGAACACACCATCTCTTTCCCGTCATTCAGAGTCCATGAAGCATATCCCCGCTGTGGCTCTTGCTTTGCAAAGGGTCATTGGGATTCTGATTCCTGGTCTGTTCCTACTGCCCATCTACAATGACTTTGGTCATGTCCAGCCTTCCTGTCCTTACCTGTAACCTGCTATCTGAGCTATGAGAGTACCTGAGGCCTTGCCTTGTATCCTGAGTATTCTTGTAACTAGAGGTGCACCGAAATGGAAATTTTAAAACCGAAACGAAACCAAAATAAAAAAAAAATGTCAGGCCGAAACCGATACCGAAAATGTTTTTTATTTTTTCAATTTTTTTTAATAAACTTTTTAATTTTTTAATATTTATTTTTATTAATTCATTTTTTATTAAATATTTTTATTTTTTACTTTTAGGGGCTTCTGGGAAATATAAGGGGCTAAACAGACCCCTGATATTTCCCTTTTAAAATAGAAGAGATTGAGAACACAAAGTCCTCAATCTCTTTTTCTGTGTCCCCTGTTATCAATGAACAGGAATCCTCTATGAGTCTTCCTGTTCATTGATAACATGAGTACATTGTTTGTTTACTATAACTACAACTATGAATGAATGGGGGTGATGTAGATCACTCCCATTCATTCATAATTGAGGATATAGTTAACATACCATATTCTCAACTATGTACACACACTCAGTGATCACTGATCGCTGAGTGTGTGTACCTTGCTTGCTCTTCTCTCTGACACGCTGTCACAGGAGGCTGATCAAGCGGTGTAGGGAGAAAAGCCCAGCCTCCTGTGACAGCGCTGTCTCCGCCCTCCACACCGCTCTGCCGGACTGTGATAGGAGGCTGAGCGGTGTGGGAGGAGACGCCGGCCGTTCACAGTGCTCTCCACCGCAGCGCTTGGCCGGCTGTCACTTTCTCTTCTCCCTGCTGGGACATAGAGCAGCGCCCAGCGGGGAGAAAAGAAATCACGGATGCGCCGATGTATCGGCAGGAAAATGGCACTTTCGGCATTATGCCGATATATCGGTGCATCCCTACTTGTACCTCTGAAAGCCTCATTCAAAGTCTTTAATTGGACAGGTAAAAGTTCTCCCTTGTATTGTTTGTAAACCTCAGTAGGCAGGCCATCAAGTATAGAAGCCTTGGAATTTTGGAAGCTGCCCACTGCCTGTTCGAGCTCAGACATAGTGAGTAGAGATTCTATGGTCTCCCTATCCTTCTCAGACAAAGAAGGAAGGGGCTTTCAAGCTAGCCTTCAGAGAGTCCCAAGTGGGGCAGTGAAAGCATTCACATAAAGATAGTTGGCTATGTCATATTTTAGCGCGGTATCGGAGGGGAACAGGGTAAGCCAAAATGGATTAAGCCTCCAGGACAATGGATGATGAGATCAGTCAGTCCTAATCATAGACAAGAGCATAGAATGATCTAAAAGGGACCTAGGTGGCATTTCAGCCGAGACAATGAAGGGGATGAAATCAGCAGAAATCAGAACTAAATCTATGCATGACAGGGTATTGTGGGTCTTAGAATAACAGAAAAATTGAGAGTGAGCCAGGTACAGTATGCACCAACTGACTGATCTCAGCACAGAATTTACTAAAAGTAGTAGCTCTGGGAGCACAAGCAATTGTGGGAGACGGAAACTTGTCTAAAGAGGCATACATAAAGTTATCAAATTCACCCATAACTAGCATAGAGACAGGTCATTTGTCCGTAACAAAGGAGACTAATTCCTGGAGAACGTCACTGGAATATGGTGGATGTACACATTAGTCAATAATATATACATTCCAAATTGTACATACTACAATGAAGAAAAACAAATGGACCCAGAGGATCTAATTTTGACTGAATGCAGGAGAATGTCACATTTCTATGGATTCATAGGGAAACCCCCCTAGCATAGGATGAACAGCAAGAATGAAAAACTGCTTGACAATTTCTGATCAAGGAGGTGGGAGGACTCCAATCTGACATGAGTCTCCTGCAGACAAATTACTGGGATTTGTGTGAAAGAACAAAGGCAAAAAACGCTCCTCTAGATACTGTCACCCAAACCGCGGACATTCCAAGATATTACAGAGACTTTGCGATCAGACATAGCAAGTGGTAAAAAAAATAAAGCAAAAATCCCTAACATACGCTACTGTCCACATCATAGGTAAACAGAACAGATGGTCCAGATGCGTGTTCATCAGTGTGTTTATCATTAGTTCCAGCAAACATAAGGGCCTGCACTGTAAAAAACAGATGTAAATAACAGATGCAAACATGCTCCCCACAAGAGCTAAATGGCGTACACAACTTGGCGCAGCAATAGGGATCTAATATAGAAAGCAGTCCATCTCCGCAAGCAAAATACCAGTAAACCAATGATAGTCGACAGCCTGAAAAATGGTATGGAATAAGGATAGCAGAATTACCATCAGGGTCCATGGGAACCAAAGCGATCAGGTGACATTGCGTCTACGAGACCTCCTGTTCAATCACTTTTCACAGTAAGTGTTGAGGCTTCAGAACACTTTCCCCTCTCTTTATCTATACAGCATAAGGGTAAGGGATTTAAAATCCACAGGGAGAACTGGGAACAGTGATAACTGATTATGGTAAACACAGGGAGATTGTACAGGAAGTTATGAGCTCAGATAATTTCTGGCAGGATCATCATTTTTTCTTACACTTATTGAACATATATAACAAAACACTTTTAATGCCATACTCAACAGCCAGGACCTCGATGTAGAAAAGTTTATTCCCTGGAATCTAAAACATTACTTGTACAACAAGATCGACAGGCTCTTAACATGTTTCGCCAAAAAGGCTTAATCATAGAGGATCTTGTTATGGTTGTAATGTTTTAGATTCCTGGGAATAAACTTTTCTACATCGAGGTCCTGACTGTTGACTGCAGCTTTACATACATTGGATTACTAATGATGGCTGTGGCATGCCCCTGTTGGCCGGCACCCGGGTTTTTTGGACAGGACGGATGAGTTTGGGCATATGAATATGAGCGGTGTTCTTTTCACAAACGTCCTTATTTCAAAATACTTTTAATACTATACTTAACAGACCAAAAAGGGAGAAAGTTCATTGCTAGGGTTTACATACACTTTAATATGCATACGCACATGTTGTCGGCGATTATCCTGGGTTGATGTTAATTGTGAACAAAGACTAGTATGTGCCGTTTATTTGGCTTAGGACAGAGACCAGCATGCACAATTTATTTGGCACAATACAGAGACCAGTATGTACAATCTATTTGGTGTCACGGTCTGCGGACCGGGGCACTAGGGGTGATAGGCTTCAGGACTATGGAGTGGATTGAAGGCACAGACTGGAGTGGTACCAGGGATATTGGTCACAGGAAGACTAGGAACTAAGAATCTGTGCGTTATTGGTTGACGCACTAGAGGTGCAGAATCTAAGAAGGACCAGGTCTTCGACAGAGCCTCCAATGGTGAGGATGATTAGCTGCTGGACACCTTCCAGGTTGCCGCCCTCTAGCGCACCCACACAGACTCAGAGGCTAGTGGAAGCATTGGGGAACAGGATACAAAAACAAGTAGGGAACAAACCAAGGAGGCAGAAGATAGGAACAGTGGAACACAATAAGAGAGAGAGACACAAGCACAGGTGCAAAATGCACAACAGAGAATATACTGAAGAGGGTAGATAGGCAAGGACACAGGAGACAGTGACCAATGGGAAAGGTGAGTAGCTTAGAGATACACCAAGGAGCCGAAGGTATACAGTTCAGAAGTACGCAAGAGATGTGCGTTCCACATGCATACAAAGAGATACAGGATCACAGATGGTAAAAAGCAAAGTGCAGGACAAAGTGGTAAATGCACACAGGAAGTGTGCGATACAAGTAACAAAACACTTTTAATGCCACACTCAACAGCCAGGACCTCGATGTAGAAAAGTTTATTCCCTGGAATCTAAAACATTACTTGTACAACAAGATCGACATACAATACAAAATGCAGATCGGAGAGGCAAATGCACACAGGGAGTGTGCAGTGGCATAACCAGAGTTATGGGCGCCCGGGGCAGAACATTTTTTTTCGCCCCCCCCACCCCATATTATATAAACATCCTCTAGAACTGTACCCCCCACCCCCACACATATATATCAGCTAAGGAACTACAAGTCCAAGCATGCCATCATTGTACCTGTACACCCCCCCCACACACACACATATCACCCAGGGAACGGCAATATCTGGTTGTTGTACAGGGGCAATGAGGGCATGCTGGGACTTGTAGTTCCCTAGCTGATATCTTATGAAGCTGTATTCCACCTGAAAATACTACAATGACAGTCTCCCACGCTGTTAGAAGTTGCATACAGCGTGTGCTGTTACTACTTAAACTGGCGCGCGCAGTGTGCAGCGTCTGAGAAGATACGCAATTAGCATAGCGGGGAAGGCGGCTGCGCATTTTGCATCACTCCCGCTACGCTAATAGCGTATCTTCTCAGAAGCTGCACACTGCGCATGTCGGTTTAAGTAGTAACCAGCACACGCTGTATGCAACTTCTAACA